CACTGAGCAGTGATAAAATTTACTCATGATGGGCTTTCTGGTTTAGCAAAACTGTGCACCTACCCTTGTCTGCCGGAAGGATAATAATGTTGTTGTCATTACTAAGTGATGTGAGTGCCTTCCTCTCCTCCAAGCTGATGTTGCATGCTGGGGGCTTTGCATTGCTGAGACCGGCCAAAACCTTCGTCTGTAGTTGCTCTGCTTCCACGTCTGCAATATTGTTGTTTTGAATTGCTGTTTTGTGGCTGTGATCAGTTCCAGTTATCCATCTGGGAAACCAAACAACTTCTGGCGAAGTTGGATGGCACAACACAGAAAAGCTAACTTGTCAGGCCACGACTCCACAGATTGTGTTCTAAATAATGTGGGGGATTATTTCCTCACATCCCAGAAATCTACATTGAAATCTGAGTAACAGTGTATATATGACAGAGCTCAATCAATGTTGCACCACTCACACTTGCTTTGAATATCTAATGGAGAGCTTGCGTCTGTTCTTGTGTTTGACTAGGACATCGTGGCCTACAACTGTGAGGAGTCTGCCTGCTGCTCGCTGCCCTTTCCCATCATAGCGGACAGCAAACGGGAGCTGGCAGTCGCCCTGGGCATGCTGGACCCAGATGAGAAGGACAAAGATGGCATGCCCCTTACTGCCCGCTGTGTGAGAAACATAAACACACATTTGTTTTTGGAATTTGTGCCCCATCTCTGCTCATTCCTGTGAAGGTTTTTATCCCTCTCACTGGGAAACTCTCTCACCTTTTTTTCCCCCACCATCTAGGTGTTTATTATTGGTCCTGACAAAAAATTAAAGCTGTCCCTGCTTTACCCAGCCACCACCGGACGCAATTTTGATGAGATCTTGAGGGTGGTGGACTCGCTCCAGCTCACAGCAGGGAAGCGAGTAGCCACACCTGCCGACTGGAAGGTATGCCATGCATTTGAAAATGACCTCAGTTGCTGCCAGTTATTACAGCAGCTGAAGGCACAGATAATAGCTATAGGACCTGAGCAGCTGCTGTGTTGACCAGCAGACTTTTTGCAATGTGTCTCTTCCTCCAGCCTGGAAACTGCGTGATGGTTCCCCCGAGTATGTCTGAAGAAGAGGCCGCCTCTTTGTTCCCAGCTGGCGTCTACACCAAAGACCTCCCCTCTGGCAAGAAGTACCTGCGCTACACACCCCAGCCATAAGCACAGGCAGAAAGGATGCTGATATTCAACACTTGCATCTTTTACGTGGACTGCAATGTCCACTGCATGGACAGCGCTCTCACCTGGTTGATAGACATCCCAGCTGTGAATAAGTCCCAGTCAGTATGGATGGAATGAATACCAGTGCCTTATGATATAGGATTGAGACATTTAGTACAACTTCCTCTCCTCAAGCTGCCTACTTTTCTAAGAAGACAGATGGAAAGGAGCTGTCATGGGGAAATAGATTACTATTTGAATAAAAGATTTTTTTTTAATCTACAGTGTGGCAGAATAAGTCTCTTTTTTTTTTAGCAGAAATACTGTTGGCATGTTGTTTACAGGTTCAAAGGTAAGATGTTTATGATGCCATTTAAGCCATACGTTGTATATCATAAATACATATAGGAATATGACCTCACAAATAGGTTTATTAATATCCATACCCATAAGCTACTCTCGTATTGATGCCTTGATGTTGCCATACCATCTGAGGAGTTTTGAACTAAATCAAGAGCTAGCTAGTTTGGTTAGCAAGGTCCATCTATAATCAGCTGTGATATTAATAAGAGAAAATGCACAGCTGACTCCTTAGAAGGTCTCCACAACCCTGCACATAAAAGATGGACGTAGCAAATATGACACCACTGGCATCTGTTGTCCTCATTTTTCAGCTTGGCGTTAGTTTAGCATTAGCATTAGCATTTAGCTTGGTTAGAAAGTTGCATATATAAACTTTAGGTGTGCAACATACAAACATTAATATCTCTACTTAGTGTTAAGTAACTGTTACTGCTGTAACAAATGACCATTACAGACATGAAAAATGATGAAATAAATGAATACAATATCACAAAAAATAGAAAGATTTGAAAAATGTTTCAAAGGGGAGTTCAATTAGAAGCCGAAGCAGATGTTAGAGAAAGCATTCATCTGCATGTCTAGTAAGGGTTGCTGGGGTGGTCAGGATCCATTCATCATCCACTGTTATCTGTGTGACCTCTTTCTCAGATGATGGAGGAATCCAAACAGTGTGCTGATTCAAACTACACTCAAAATAGCAACAGCAATGACGAATTCCCTTGGCCAGTAATATGGATGCATTCCAGCAGCTGGCAGTTCAATATTCAGGCTGCAGAAACATTTCCTTGCAGTCTGGGATTACACCACCACAAATACAAGAAGATTTCTCATTATTGCTCAGATTAACATCCACGCCTGCTGAATAGTTCTGAAGCCAGGTACATTCACTCTGTGGTCTGGAAAATGTGAGTGTGGCGATGTCTCACTGCAACGCTCCATGAAGCACATCAGTCAACACTCATGTGTTCCCTCAGAGCCTTAATCAGTTCACCGAGCTCATCCATCCATGTAATCTAGAGTTGAGGGGAGACTGAAAACAAATTTCTTGGGTGGTCTGTACCACACAACGGGCCACAATATTTGTCAAATAGTTCAATTAAAATACCGAAAGGGCCGGTTCAGTGATTCATATTATCTGAGGTCTCTTCATAGAGACTAAAACTGATATCAGGCAGTAAACATCCCTTTTAATGCTGTGAAATGTGGCATTTCAACAACAACAATTCCAAACCAGACTCAAGTGGCCAATCCAGAACCTGCAGGTTTAAATCTACTGTATACATTTGTGGACGTTTTAGGTTTTTGAAGCTGGATGTGGTGATACATTGAGAAGAGGTGCAACTTGTAACAAAATTTAATATAATTCCCCACTCTTCTCTTTACAGCTGTCAAGTTGAGCATGACAAGCTTAAATCAGTAAACATGATTAAATTTGGCAATAATGTTTACAGTGTGTAATACTGGTCTAATATTAAACTGCTGACAGTGATGATGCAAAACTTTTGCAAGAACAAATTAACCGATTTCACTGGATTTTTTACCTCGACCAAGTTTTTTTGGTCATGCAACATGTTTTTGGTAGCATTTCTGTGCGTGCGTGTCATTCTGTGTGTAAACACATAGCTCATAAAGTTTTTAATGAATTTGAATGAATGCAAACTTTGTAGTGGTGTAGAGTCCGGTAATGTTAACAATCTTATATCCACCAAGGTCTTTAAGTAATGATGATTTATTTGCCAAAAAATGACAAAAAGCCTCATAAGTTAGAAACTATAATTCTTACAAGTATGGTGTGTATTGTTAACATATAGAAAGTACCTTATATAAAGATTTAAAATATCATGTTACATTTGACCTCTAACCTCCTTCAACAGATTCATCTCAAGGTCACCGTGATAATAAAGCTTTTGAAAACATTGTTTCTTTGCCATCGTTTGTATTGACAACATAAAAGAATATAGGGAATGTATGTATATACCAAATGTATGTATATGCTACTGCTTACTGCCCAAAGAGTGAGCTGCCTTGGCTGAGGTTGGCTTCTTGTTGGATCTGTAATGACATCACAGTGTGAGCGGTGGGTGGACGGAGCTACTAGGCTGGCATTCCAGCTCTAACGCCTTCACCCTAAGATGCATCGCTTCCCCTCCCAGCTCCCAATTTCTCAACTCCACTTCCTTAATGCAGAGCATCAGCTGGACTTCCTCAGCTGACGTCCCCCACCGCAGGACTGGGAGGAGCTATAGAAGTGGTTACAGGAAGACTAGTGGAAGGAGTAGGTACAGGAGCTAGTGGCTCCACATCAGCTATGCCTGCCCCATCCGCCAACAGTCCCCTCTCACCCAGTGCCTTGGCTATAAGCCGCCACAGTTCTTCCTTCCTCACAACCAGTGGTGTTTGCACATTAAAAAGGTTGGCAATAAGCATCAAATCTATCATATTACACTTATTCAACTGCTGCAATATAGGATTCCCAGCAAACTTATCCAAATCAAACTCCATTGTGGCTAACAACACAAACCAAACAGCCACCCACCTGGGCGCTACAAAAGGAAACGCAAATGGCAAGGACGAGCCCCCAAATACACACACACACACATATATATATATATATACATATATATATATATATATACACATATATATATATATATGGAATATCTTTTTATCCAAGAGGCACTTTGGACACTAATATATATATATATATATATATATATATGGCAGCACGGTGGCACGGTGGTTAGCACTGTTGCTGCACAGCAAGAAGGTCCTGAGTTCAATTCCACCATCAGGCCGGGGTCTTTCTGTGTGGAGTTTGCATGTTCTCCCCATGTTTGCGTGGGTTCCCTCCAGGTACTCCGGCTTCCTCCCACCGTCCAAAGACATGCCACTAGGTGTGAATGTGAGTGTGAATGGTTGTCTGTCCTTGTGTGTTAGCCCTGCGACAGACTGGCGACCTGTCCAGGGTGTACCCCGCCTCTCGCCCTATGACAGTTGGGATTGGCTCCAGCACCCCCCGCGACCCTGAAAAGGATAAGCGGTAGCGAATGGATGGATGGGATGGATATATACATACATACACATATATATATATATATATCATAGATATAGATATGTCCAGGATCTCCTCTGTATCCTAAGTTAGTTGTGTTTGAAGTGTTAACTCAGCTGTGTGGGATTTGGTGTTCCCTCCTCACCGGGTTGACAGCATCAGCTAAGAGCTTATCAACTTTTATCTAGGGGAACGATGGCAACAGGCTTCCCCTCTGTGAGCAGCAGACAGGAGAATTTAAGGACAAGGGAGGTGTTAAAAACAGGAAATGGAGGGATGAAGTCGAGTGAGGAGAGAACAAAGGACAAGCAGTTTAAAAATGAATGTCACTGAACGCTGACTGGAAGGACATAAGCTTGTTTATCCAGACACATTAGGCTGGAGTGACAGAGAGAGGAGTGTTCATTTGAAATATTTATTAGGAATGCATTAGAAGATAACACTCCATGATGTTTGACTTTAACTGCCACTTGTCCCATTCAGCCTGAATTTGAAACACATAGTTTTACACAGAGATCTGATGCCATATGTCATCTGATAAGTCCTGCATATATGACATAGTATCATATGAGAATGTTAAACCCCCATAATGGAATTAAAAAAACATTATTTATACTGAAAAAAGCAGCAAGGTTAAGACGTCTCGTTCTTGATTTGTCATCACTGTTGTGTCACAGAGAGCGAGCTTCATCTCTGGCTCATGAGGGCCTGGCACTCCCTCTGGTGGGCGAGCAGTCGCAGGAACACCTTGTACTTCCTCTCATAGAAGCTGAAAAAAAAGGAAGGAATAAAGAAAATCATGAGATAAATTTGATGCCTGCTGTATATTTCGGATTTCATTCCTAAAATATCCCATAACTATATCAATTATTAAACACAAAGAAGGCATCAGAGTCAAGCGTTTCCTTTCCTGTTGCAGAATTCCTCACCTCTGGACTTCACTGTCAGGCTGGACGACTTTCCCCACTTTAGCCATTTTTTCCATGGCCTCCTGAAACACAAGACACACACATGAATTTCATTCAATAAATGATAGCACACTGATTCAGCTTCATGTCAGCCATGACCCAGTTATAGTAAAAGCAGCAGCCTGCTGCTGTGGCGGAGTTTATAATTAATGCAGTGCAGGGCCCCTCTGCTGTCTAAACCTACAAAATCCATGCAGCTGACTGTTTGCAGCTCGGAGGCTCAGACAACACAACTGCCTGCTGTGTCTATGTTCGTAATGGGTTGACAGGTGCATCCTCGTCCAAATAACAGCATCGTATTTTTAGTCTGTCTGGCTTTGAGGCTGCTCAGAGTTGTGGAGCTGAGACACAAAGAGATGATGAGTTGACCTGACACAAGATGAATCCATACCTGTCTGTAACAAAAGCCAGCACAGTGCATTGCTTACTATGTAGTTTGGTTCCACCTAGCAGATGCAGGCAGTGAGTCAGTGATTATGTATGACAAAACCTATGTCATGTTTGACCTCTGCTGTGTTTCCATGACACTACAGCATTTAATGATTACACTGCAAACTGCTGCAGACTGTAAACTGTAAACTAAACATTAAAATACCAAGTTGACCTAGATTAAAGAGACACGTATTTCGTTTTTAAGTACTGCTCAACTGCTCAAAACAGCTGCACAACACAGTCTTCTATGATGCTGACAAAAAAAAGATGTTGGCTTTTACAAAATAAACTGGGATATATGCAGTTTACATTTAAGTAGCAGGGGCAGTCTCTTTAAAAAATGCTATCCATATTGTATTTATAATGAAGTGGTTATCATTAACATCCCTTTAAAGCCAAGTTTCAGAAACATGGGATTACTTATATGTTCTTCAAATGCAACCACTTCATCAAACGTGTCCTCTTTGACTGAAATGTATTTATGTCAAGGTGTGTGCTGTGGCAGGCAGGATGTAGGAGCCAAACGGAGGACAAACTTAAAGCAGCAGCTTTTATTGCTGGGAATACTTTTCCATAGAAAGAAACTTCCCAAAAAACAAACCAAAACTTTGAACATATAAAATAGAAACTAAACTGGAAACTAGTAAATAAAAAACACAAACTAGGAAAAGAAACACAGGGACTGAGAACTAGAATTTCATCAGGAACACGAAGGGAGAAACACAGCACAGTGACACAGCACAGTGAGGTTACGATGCAACAAAGGGCAAAGGGAAACACAGGGCTTAAATGAGAGGGCAAGACAATGATGGGGAACAGGTGGGAACACAGGTGGTACAAATCAGATATAAGTCATGTCCAAATTCATGGGCTGCATCCTCCTGAGGACTCGGCCTTCGCGGTCTATGTGGGCTGGGTCCTCAGAAGGTCGGGTAGGCCGGAAGTAAACGGCTGTGAAATTGGACGGTCTAGCCTTCAGATTTGTGTCACCGCTGTCTCGGTGGAGTTTAATAAACTCAGCTGTCTGCTCCTTGCTATCTGAAATATAACAGGACACTGGCGTAAATTCTCGACCATCTCACACTTCTGTTTAATGTTTTCTGTTTGACGTTTATTCAGCTGTGTGAAAACCACCCGGGGGATTAAAAAAGTTTTTTTTTTAATCTAATCTAATCTAATCTAATAACTTGAATCTCAGCCAAACCGATTTACTCACAAACAAATACAACACTGAAAAAAGCCAAACAATAACAATTTTAGGTTGTCTAAGTGACTTATATATTACGTTTAACCTGAGTAGCAAAAGTCCGCGGTGATCTGAAAATGATGTGCCGGGAGTTGTGCCGTTCTCTGCGGCTTCAGTGACCCTCGAGCTCCCGGCTAGCTATCGAGCTGGTGGGTAGCAGACGTCTCCGAAAACGTCGGAGCATTTTTGCAAATACGTGATATCTTGATAAACTGAGCAGATATTTGAAGTTTACACAGCTACATTCTGGTCTGAAAATATGTTAAAAGTTTATTTTGTGACCCAGAAAGATTAGTATGAGTAATTTAAAACTTAGTAGCGGCCGCCATTGTTGAAAACTGGAATTGGCCAAGCCACACTATGAATTCTGGGATATGGTGGGCCACGAAGGACACACCCGACCCATCCTTCAAATTCGGAGAAAAGGAAGACACATTTGTCGGCTGCATTCGGAGGAGTCTACGAATTTGGACAGCCTTCGTCGCGTCGCTGTGACGTAATCGGCCTACAAATGTGTCCTCAGGAGGATGCAGCCCATGAATTTAGACACCCCCATAGTGAGACAAAGGAAGAAAAGCAGAATACATTAACCAAGGACAGACTGTCAAAGCAAAAGTAAACAGGAAGCATAACACAGAAACGTGGACTTGATACTGAGACAGAGGAACATGAAACACAGAGACAAAAGTAACAAGACGTGGGACATAGGGAAGACATAAAGACAGAAAACTAAGACTAAATATACAACACACGGAGAACAGAATTAGACCAAGAACACAGAGGAGGCACAGAAACAGAACAGAAACCGAATAACCAGGAACTATAAATATAATACAAACGGAAATCCATAATTCAAAGAGTACAGCTTAAACCAAAAACACAAACAGTGCCGTGAAAATTTAATGTTATTAAATTATTTTAAAAAGCCAGTCACAGATTCTAATCCTTTTCTAACTCTGTTAAACAGAAAAACTGTTAAAATGAACAACTTACCCTACAATCGCTGAATGTATTTTGGGAAGCCAGCTCTTAAAGTCAAATTGCAGACTGGAGTAAAACACTATGCACCTCCATCTCTACTTGTGCAAAAGAGCAAATCCAAATTTCCACTGTGACAGCCGACAGTGTTTCAGTGGATTTCCACCGGGATACTTTTGTTATGTTATTGTGTTGGTATTGTGACATATCAGAAAAAACTTCCAGTTACGTACCATTCGTCAGGTGTTTATTTGACGAACGGTCATTTGGTACTAGCAAACCAAAGTGTGCCAAAAAATATCCCCCATACCTTTACACCATCAACACTAGACCGACCTGTTGATACAAGGCAGTTGGATTTATACTTTCATGTTCTTTATGAACTTTAATGTTACATCAGAACAGTTTCCTGCTCTTATCTGACAGAGTGGCACCCGGTGTGGTCTTCTGCTGCTGTAGCTCATCTGCTTCAATGTTTAACATGTTGCCCATTCAGAGATGCTCTTCTTCAAACCTTATATCTAACGAGTGCTTAATTACGTTTCAAAAGCATTTCCTGCCAAATCCCTCAGATGTTGTTTGACTCATGTGTATTGTAACTTCACTCTACCTGTATAGAGCTGTAGTGTCTTGATGCACATGCTCCCAGCACTGCTGCTCCCACTAGCACAGCTTCAGTTTGGTCTGGCAACACTACAGGCAATCCTGAGAATGAGATTGAAGACATGGAATGGGCTAAAGCTATCACAGAACTTATTTTACCTTTTCCTCTCTCCAGATCTTCTCTGCCTGAATGTTCTTCAATGTCTTCATGTATCATATTCCTACTATATATTAATTATTTTTTGTTGTTGATTGTCTGTATTCTAAATTTACTTCAGTTACATGTAAGTCCATCCTAGGAGTAACTTCTTCTGTCTTGTTGTGCTGTGTTGTTAAAAAAAGACTTTGGGGGACTCTTTAAACTTCAAAGTTGGCCACTGGAAGCTGCACATAATTAAAATTTTCTTCTTAATCTTTATTTCGTGGTTAAGTTATTGAAATACTAATACAAACATTCTTTCTTACTCTCAATAAATTATAAATGTACATACTGTGCAACTGTGTTTCAAAATATACATATAACCATGTTATTGGTATTTACTACCTGTAGTATTAGCATGAATCTGTACAAACAGGTTGTTTTTGCTCAATCCACCACACAGGAAGAGGGTTCTGATTTCATGTCCTGCTTCTTTCATGGCCTCCAGAATATGAAGTGTACCGAGCTGAAACCAGAGGAGGACACACAACAGGAATAAAGTTACAAGAAAGCAAATACAACCTCCTTTGTACTTAAAGGTGCTAGGGTATCAGTCTGAGAGAGAGGAAGTCATTTGAAACACAAAACGCCATCAGACTCACAGCGAGGGCTTGCATGGTGGCCAGGTAGAGAAGGGCCAAGTCATCCAAGGTCTGGGACAAAGAGAGTCCAACTACCTGCAAAACAGTAATGACACAAAAATACCAGCAAGGGTGTGATCACCGTCTAAGATTTTGTGAAAGCAAGGCTGTCATCCAGTGTTTGGTGATTTATTAAAAACAGAGGTTTTCATATTCCATTCCTTGGCTTTCTGTTTCCTGGAATTTTAGATGTGGTTTGGCGCCAGTAATTACCAAAAAACCCAAAACAAAACATGGATAACCAAATATAATGGCTGAGTGGTGCGACACAAACAACCTGCTGCTTAACACCGAGAAGACCAAGGAGCTCATCGTGGACTACAGGAGGAATGCTGACCCACATCCACCCATCCACATTAAAGTGACGGCTCTGGAGCGTGTGAGCAGCTTCAAGTTTCTGGGAGTCCACATCTCCGAGGATCTCACCTGGACGACCAACTGCTCCAAGCTGGTCAAGAAGGCTCACCAGCGCCTCTTCTTCTTGAGGACTCTGAGGAAGAACCACCTGTCCTCAGACATCCTGGTGAACTTCTATCGTTGCACCATCGAGAGCATCCTGACCAACTGTATAACAGTCTGGTACGGGAACTGCTCTGCCTCGGACCGGAAGGCGTTGCAGAGGGTCGTGAAAACTGCCCAGCGCATCGCCGGAGCACCACTTCCTGCCATAAAAGACATCTACAGGAAGCGGTGTCTGAAAAGGGCTGGGAAAATCATCAGAGACCCCAGTCACCCATCACATGGACTCTTCACCCTCCTGCCCTCTGGGAGGCGCTACAGGAGCCTCCGGACTAAGACCACCAGGTACCGGAACAGCTTCTTCCCCACAGCTGTCAGACTCCTGAACTCTGCCTCCTGACATCTGACCCACGTTAACTCATGGACTGAACATACACACACACACACACACACAATGGACAACTGTACCCTCAAACACACAATAATAACATGGAGTGAACCACCACTCACAACCACTAGCACTTTATATAGCCTCTGTAGAAATCATCCACATATCTCACTTACCTTAACTGCACTACTGTATAGCCCTGTGTAAACAATCATTCTGTACATACGATAATTTTTAACCCTACAACTGTTTACAACTTGCATAGTTCCCATTTCTGTATAGCTGTATATCTCAGATTCCTGTAAAGTTATTTATTTCATATTCTGTATAGTTTTTCATATTTATATCCTGTCCATATCCTGTACATAGCTTGTACTCACTACAGCCTGTACATACTTATAGTTATAGAATATTCACAACATACTTCATACCGTGTACATTATAACATAATAGACCCATTTCTGTAATATACTTACATATCTATATTATTGCTAATATATATTGTAATATATCTATATCACTAAGCACTTCTGGATGGATGCAAACTGCATTTCGTTGCCCTGTACCTGTGCATGTGCAATGACAATAAAGTTGAATTCTATTCTAATTCTATTCTATTCTATAATAACAAGTTAAACTCACAAAATAGTTTCTTTTTGATATGATTAGTGAGGATAAGCTAAGTAAGCCAATAAGAGTAACAAACTAAATTAATGGCATTTTATTGTGTAATGGGAAATTAATTTGATTTGAAGTCGAGGGGACAGGAAGAGAATAGAAAGGCTGCTGAGCACAAATGCATGAGTTAAATGTGAATTTCTGTCTATGTAGAGAGCAAAATATATGTTCATTGGTCATTGTTATATTATCTGAAACAGATCGTATAAAACTGCCAACTTGAACCTATTCAGTCCTGTGGGGAGTTCAACAAATAAGGTTAAGGCACAGGTTTGAACTGTCTTGCTGTGACTTACAAAATCAAATCAGTCATTAGGATCTTATCTCATTTGCTTTCCCTGTACCAAACCAGCACTCTAGAAAACACAATATGTGGTTCTGCAAAGTTAAATAAGTTCAAGTTAAATTAACTATTTCCCCATGTGCTGAGTTTTAATGCTGATGGACCATATTTCAGGAGACACTTTGATATGTCAAAATAGGATAAACACAGTTTAATTGAACAGAATACAGCCACTGTTAACCTTATTAGGAGAAAAGGGGGTTTTCTGGTTGTAGCTAGTGAAAATAATTCTCTTCCACACCACAACTAAAATAAGTCAAATCTGTGGATGTGAAGTTTTTAAAAGAATAAATTAAAAAAAATTGTTTCATAATACAATCAACAGGTAAGTTCTGGTTCTTATTCTTTACTAATCAAGGTGATAAGACATAACGTAAGTGGAATATGTATATTCAAAATCAGTGACTTCTTTGGCCAGGTGTATTTAATAATTTGTAAAATATATCGATATATATATATCGCTTTTTAAATTGTTTCAGTTATATTTATGGGATTGCAATGATAATAAATCTTTAACAAAGATATCAGAGATTGAAACAAACAAAATAGAAAAATAATCCCTTCCTCAAAAATGTCATGTGACAACCTAATTTGCACATGGAATGTTGACCTTGTCGGGAACTTGGCTGCATCACTAGAATCTTATATCAAACATTATGCTGTTTTATAATTCATAAGTAAACAAGAGACACTTCAAGTCAACCATTTTCAGTCAACACACCGGTTTGTTCGCAGCTATCAAACATTCGGCATCGACTACGACGAATTTAAACACATTTGGATCCTTCACAGAGTCATGTTAGTCAGCAAGGTACCAAAATGCCTGAGAGAGGAAAAAAAACACCAGTCAACAGAGAGCGATGACCCCAACACTCCTCAGTGTATTGAATTTGAAGAACTTTCAAAGAGGAGAGAAACTTTAGAGTTGGACATTCACCAGACCACCAGCCAGCGAGGCTAGCTGCCAGGCCACGCCGGGCACCACCAAGAATATTAAGAAAACAGAAGAAAATACAGTCAACTTGGTCATCAGATTGTAAGGTATTCATTAAATTAAATGGAACACCAGAGCAGGCAAAAGTTCTAGTCCTCAAAGAGATAAATATAACTGATAAATCAGAACGCAAAGCAGTGCTAAATATGATGGTATTTGTCCAAGTTGTACAACCAACTCAAATGTCTGACAGTTTTCATGTAACAACTCATATAGATATTCCAATTTAATAAACTGATTTTCAAAATGCTTTGTAAAATGGCGATTCCACTCCTCATTTCAAAATCCATTTCCCTTTCCTGTTCGCTCAGGGATGAACATTTAGATTAGCAACTTCATTATAAAAATCCTGCTGCAATGCAAATTAGCCAAACCGTGGGATGCAAAGAGCTCTCTGATTGGTTGGACGGACACATCGCAAATTTTACATTGCAGCTGTACTAGCTAGCTACGTGTTTTGTAAGCTGTGGTGCTCTTCACAAATAAAGCTTGAAGCAGCTCAGACTGTTAGAACCAACACTGAGGCCTGTTACATTTATACAGTGTTAGAGCAATGGCTGCAACCTACAGCCTTTAAACTAGCGATTAAAATGCTGACAGTAAACTCGTCAGTCCAGATGTTACCACATTACTTTATGATACTTAGAGTTAAAGAAACTGAAACAGGCTGATTAAAATAACAGCTGTCAGTTCTCTCATTCCTTATATCAAGACTGGAGATCACATTACTGATTTCAGTTCATTTAATATGTGCGTGCACAGATTAATTCTCAACTGGACATAAACGATGATCAAAGGTTGTATATATGATGAATTCATCAAATCCCGGCCTCTAACACAGTGCGCTGAATCTTAGCTTTGAATGTCCAGTATATTCTAATCCATACAATTTAAGCATTCACTGCACCTACCTACAGTATCTACACCTGTGTGGCAAAGATACAGATAATGAAATGTAATTATTAATAAAATATACATAATAAAAAATAAAAGATGAAATTGAATCAGTTTAGTACTTTTATCTGTATGCTCTGTGCTTATAAAGGCCTTAAATTCTGTGATATACAGGGAGTGCAGAATTATTAGGCAAATGAGTATTTTGTCCACATCATCCACTTCATGCATGTTGTCTTACTCCAAGCTGTATAGGCTCGAAAGCCTACTACCAATTAAGCATATTAGGTGATGTGCATCTCTGTAATGAGAAGGGGTGTGGTCTAATGACATCAACACCCTATATCAGGTGTGCATAATTATTAGGCAACGTCCTTTCCTTTGGCAAAATGGGTCAAAAGAAGGACTTGACAGGCTCAGAAAAGTCAAAAATAGTGAGATATCTTGCAGAGGGATGCAGCAGTCTCAAAATTGCAAAGCTTCTGAAGCGTGATCATCGAACAATCAAGCGTTTCATTCAAAATAGTCAACAGGGTTGCAAGAAGCGTGTGGAAAAACCAAGGCGCAAAATAACTGCCCATGAACTGAGAAAAGTCAAGCGTGCAGCTGCCAAGATGCCACTTGCCACCAGTTTGGCCATATTTCAGAGCTGCAACATCACTGGAGTGCCCAAAAGCACAAGGTGTGCAATACTCAGAGACATGGCCAAGGTAAGAAAGGCTGAAAGACGACCACCACTGAACAAGACACACAAGCTGAAACGTCAAGACTGGGCCAAGAAATATCTCAAGACTGGTTTTTCTAAGGTTTTATGGACTGATGAAATGAGAGTGAGTCTTGATGGGCCAGATGGATGGGCCTGTGGCTGGATTGGTAAAGGGCAGAGAGCTCCAGTCCGACTCAGACACCAGCAAGGTGGAGGTGGAGTACTGGTTTGGGCTGGTATCATCAAAGATGAGCTTGTGGGGCCTTTTCGGGTTGAGGATGGAGTCAAGCTCAACTCCCAGTCCTACTGCCAGTTTCTGGAAGACACCTTCTTCAAGCAGTGGTACAGGAAGAAGTCTGCATCCTTCAAGAAAAACATGATTTTCATGCAGGACAATGCTCCATCACACGCGTCCAAGTACTCCACAGCGTGGCTGGCAAGAAAGGGTATAAAAGAAGAAAAACTAATGACATGGCCTCCTTGTTCACCTGATCTGAACCCCATTGAGAACCTGTGGTCCATCATCAAATGTGAGATTTACAAGGAGGGAAAACAGTACACCTCTCTGAACAGTGTCTGGGAGGCTGTGGTTGCTGCTGCACGCAATGTTGATGGTGAACAGATCAAAACACTGACAGAATCCATGGATGGCAGGCTTTTGAGTGTCCTTGCAAAGAAAGGTGGCTATATTGGTCGCTGATTTGTTTTTGTTTTGTTTTTGAATGTCAGAAATGTATATTTGTGAATGTGGAGATGTTATATTGGTTTCACTGGTAAAAATAAATAATTGAAATGGGTATATATTTGTTTTTTGTTAAGTTGCCTAATAATTATGCACAGTAATAGTCACCTGCACACAGATATCCCCCTAAAATAGCTAAAACTAAAAACAAACTAAAAACTACTTCCAAAAACATTCAGCTTTGATATTAATGAGTTTTTTGGGTTCATTGAGAACATGGTTGTTGTTCAATAATAAAATTATTCCTCAAAAATACAACTTGCCTAATAATTCTGCACTCCCTGTAAATTCACTGTTCTTTATGGTCTTATTCAATGGTAAAGCTCTTTAGAAACATTACTGATGGTTCTTAGGAAAAGCTAAATAACTTAATCTGAGCTTTCTTTAACAATACTTCCTGTATTAAGATGAGTCAACAGCTAACAAATATAAACTGCTATGTAAATTATTGTTTTTGGCAAGAAAATGTATTCTTTTCAATTGGATCAATGAAAACCACCAACAATAACTCAGTGGTATAAAGAAATCTTTAGAATCTTACCGATGGAAAGACTGGGTGCAAAACTAAGCGGTAATGACGATATCTTTTTGGAGGGGCAGCCCCACTCCAATGGCAGGATGGGTTTGTCAGGACAAATGTGTAAATGGGTGGTATACCCAATTATTTACCATAATGTATTAGTTTTCCTTTTACATGTCTCAGACTGCTTATTGTGTTGCTTCTTGTTTTTTGTTTTGGGATTTATTTTTTTTGTTGTTGTTGTGGTTGTTGTTTTTTTGTATCAAAAAATCAAAATAAAGAGATAAAAAAAAAAAAAAAAAGATAAGTCAACAGCTTTGAGTTGGATAACAGGGACCAGTTCAAAAATAACTCACCTTAATTGGAAAATGTAACAAAAGTAACGTCTGACTAGGGCTGTGCGATATGACCAAAATCTCATATCCCGATATAAGAATTCTATCGTCCGATAACGATATAAATCCAAAAAATGTAACATTTTCTGTAAATTCTGTGAATCTCGGGCAGCTCGACTTGCAGGAAGTGTTTCCAGCTGCGCGTCATGTAGCTGGAGTCCAGTGTTTTAACAGATGCATGAAACTATACATTTTTAGACATAAGTTGTAACGGCCGCCGTTTTCTTTGTGAGTATTTATTACACAGCATGCTGCAGGGAAAAGCCTGTTCTAACGTTTGAGTCTAAGGTTTACTTTTTAGCACCTGGCGGCTCTTTTTTACTTCTCATCCGTAAATACTCTGCATCTTTCACGTGATTCAGTTTATTTTGAAAAGTCTCAACAGGATCTTGAGCTTTATTGTGAAAGGTTTATATGGAACATAAACAAGCGGACACGCGTTGCTGTTACCGTCGTTGTTGCTAACCACAACGCATAAAAACAGGCGCTTGTCCATCCGTAGTGTGATTATATTAAATATAAGAGAAAGAAAGAACTTTAATAAATTAATATAGCCACTACAGTGACCATCAAAACGATGAAAAAATATTGCCGTAAACAGTTTATTTTGCGACACCACGAAACAAACGATAGTGTAAAATGAAACGATAGACCTTTTTATATCGTCATCCGATATATATCGTTATATTGAACAGCCCTACGTCTGACTTTAATCATTTGCCCTCATTTTACAATGGAATTTATGTATTTGTTTTGATTAAACCTTTTAAATCTGTGACAAATGAAAAAAGTGCAAAAACAGGAAAGCAGCCAGTCAGAGCTGCGTATATGTTGCTGCTTCTAAAAGCCTCACACATATATGTGGAATCATTGTGGAATTCATTCATAATCATTCTGTAGAGCATGGATCTTTGAAACACAGACTTCCACGGGCATAAGAGAACATTAAGAAAAGATTAAGAAAACCCCAAGTGCACAAAAAGGAAGAAACATTCAAAGCAGGCATACCCTAACTTAAAATCTGATACTCACACATCCAACACAACGTCAGTCTACACATATCCTTCTTTTTAAGTCATAGCCTTTACCATGCCCTTCAAAGTTGGGTCAGCCAGGGGCGACCTGTTTCCATGAAAGTCCGGCCACACGTGAAGACTGGACCCTAGCAGATCGACAGCAGAGCAGGAGTTGGCCATCGAACTCAAATGGTTGTTCAAGTAGCTGTAGATATTCTCGCCAGCAAAAGGAAGCCTATAAAATTAAAAACACTGTTGCCAGGACACCTAAAATGATAGCTGATATTACCTATATTAATGCCATGGTGGTTGGCGAGCATGAAATCTATATTCAATCTTCAGCAAACGTGAAGTACCGTATATCAAAAAATTTAACTTCCTATTCCTCCAGAGAACAGTTGAGTTGCACTGAAAGCACATTACTGAGCTTCTAATCTCCCAAAAGCATACTTGACATTATTCTAGCCCAGCTGATGAGGATCACAGATGTGCAAAAGCATTGTTGGGAACTGCAGTATTAAAAGCATCAGCTGACCTCTGCTGAACCTGTTCCTGGAGCTGGGTATATGCAGTGTGACCTTTCACCATGTGGTCAATCTGAGGGAGGAAAGAGGCAATACATTTAAACTGAAAAGGATCACAAATGACTGGTGGCCACCTGGCTTCAACTAATAATGTCAAAGCTGAATCTATATACATCTCAAAGCATTAGCTCCTTTTGTCAAACCAGTAGTTCAAATGTGAAAGGTGAGGAAAAAATAAGTGGTTTTGTCTCCATGTTTTCTGTTAGTATTGAGCATGAAGAGGATCTGAAAAATAATTTAAATATGAATGAAAAAGATCAAGAAAATATGAGTAGACTGACCAGCCTTCCTGTCACACTCTGCCCTCCCTCGTTGAGCCACAGTCCAGGCACCATGGCAGATAGGTAGGGCCCCCACACTCCTGGCACAAACCGAGGCTGCTCACTGATCTGATGGCACAGGAAATCTTTTAGTTAGTTTTAGTTGGAGGTAGATATTTTATAAATTAAAAGAGAAACCGCCAGACTAACAGGATATGCGTGCCATTTGCTTCTCATCTCAGAGTTACTGCAGTTGGCCTGTGCAGACAGGATAATTTATGTCTATAAACAATTTTTAACAATGCTCACATAAGTATAAACAAGTAATACAGATAGAGTGGCTTTTAGAAAGATATCTTATCAGACTAGATAAGACAGATTGTGCACCTAGGAAATGAAGGTGGTGAGTACACGATTAATCATCAGAAGACGTTTTTATTAGTCATCAGGAGATTTTCACAGGAACATATACACAATCACAAAGGCCACTGGGGAACAGTACAGTAGTAGACTAGCACGGTAATTTTACACCAATCAGGTGAACAGCAGCTGTGAACTACTGACCGCCATGTGACAAGTTGACGTTCCACAGATCAGCGCCATGCGTGCAGTGATCGGCAGACCCTCACAGGGCAAATGAAAACCTTTCACATCAGCACCGATCACACCTGGGAGGAGGTTAATGTTGCTTTATTTAACACTCTTTATTTTATGCAGGGGAAAAAGATACATTGTAATAATTAAGTTGTTGGGTTTTTTTGCTGTCATCTAACACAAAGTGTCAAAGATGCTGCTAGAGCTTTAAATCCACATGAATGAAATTGTGCTCCAACCTCTTCGTAGGATTCAGCAGTGACGCTAACTGCTGGAATAATGTTTATCAAGCTGGTTTGAGTTTAAGGTGGGAGGCCAGTCCCCATCACTGTGACGTGAACAGAAACTAATGGTGCAGAGTGCTGTAACCTCTCACTGACGCAGCAATGTGTGATTGGCAGAGGTCACGGTTGAGGGTCAAAGGCAAGAGTTCACGACGAGTTCAGCTCACAGAACAGATCCAGATGGTGAGGATTTCTGATCCTGAGGAAGGTCTGCTGCTGCCCTGACACTGGTCAGAAATTCACTAACATCTCAGGCGGGTTTGTTATTCAGTTTATTTCCCATAATATTAAAGATGGGAACATCTAACACACGCTAGGCACCTAATCCTCATGTGGTAAACTATAGTTGTTGAAATATTATCACATCATCCATCTATTATCTCCCTTCTCACTTCCTTCTTCCAGCAAACTCATAAAACCAAAAAAGGTATTTTATTTATTTATTTATTTTTTGGTAACTAAGTACAGTCACAAGTTGTCGGCTGGTCAAGCAGGTTGTTTTCACTTTTCAGTGAGGATCACACTATCCTGATAATTAGCGCTTTAACTTGTGGCAGGTCATCCACTGATCAATAGGCATACATTTCACAAAGAAGTGCAAAAATGCTTCCCCTATCTCGAAGGCTGAGCCCAGCCACACCACAAAGGCAACTTGTGTTGATTTCTTTTATTTGCGAGCACTAGAGACAGGGTGAGGAGCTCAGACATCAGGAGAGAGCTTGAAATAGAGCCAATGCGCCTCCACGCCAAACATAAACAGCTTAGATGGTTTAAGCATCTGGTTAGGAAGCCTCCTCCTTGGAGATTCCTTTAAGAGGTTTTTCTGACATATGCAATTTGGAGGACAATCCAACGTAGACCCAAAAGCTCCTGGAGAGATTATATATCTGACGCGTCATGGGAATGCCCCGGGATCTCCTAGAAAGGACTGGAAAAGCCGTCGGGAGCACCCTGTTTAGCCTGCTGCTACTGTGACGTGGCTTTAAATAAGCAAAATATAATGGATGGATAAACTAGCATCTAATATAGAACTACCATCAAGCCCAAATTTACATTTGTCCATATACATATTACTATGATGTTTAAGTTGGTTTCCTAGTGTATTCATGCACCTACAAAAATAATGATTTAACTTAGCACATGCTTTGTTTTGGAGTTAAAGTTTAAACTTTGCACACAGGATACTGAAAAGCCACAGCCACAAGTGGAAATTATGAAATATTAAAGTCTATTTAGTAAATGTTTATATTAAACTTTGCTCCTTAAGGAATGAACTTCTTTTTTATTGTGACCCTGACACGTAGCATATCAAAATATCAACTTTGCAAATAAAATATCAACTTTGCATCACTGACATTTTATGCCTTCATTTTCCTTTCAGTACCTCTAAATAGGCATAACAACGCGACAGCATAGAGCAATTTTTACTCCTCCAGCATGTCTGCACCACTCCAGCACACCATTAAAAAACAGCTACACATCTCTGGTGTGTGATGACTTGGCTATGTGATTACCCTCCATGCTTTCACTATAGCTTTCATATGGAACAGCCTCAGTCACAGGCTGTGTGAAAGCGGCTGCAAACTGAGTAATCTCAGCTTATTCATGACAAGAAAATACTTTTGTTTTCAAGTAAGTGTGATTCGTCATCTGATACCTAAGCCTCCAGCATGGGCATCGATGAGAGAAGCCCCAACTGCAGTTCCTGGGTCCAAACCCAAATCTGCTGCTGCCTCCTGTGTAAGGCCCTCTCCCAGTGGACTTCCTGGAGGACACGTCACACTGCCTGGATGACAAAATTATTTAAAATTTTTAATTCTTAGAATTTAATAAAGGACACAAAAACTGTAAAAGATATAAGAAATAATCAGTCAAACTATCTGAATGTATAAAATGTCATTTTCTGGCCTATTTTGGAGAAGTTATTTTCCAGCAGGTCGTCCAGTCCAATGCTCGTCCAGAAGCTGGCTTCCCATCCTTCTGGAGGGCAGTAGGTCCACTTACACACCAGAGTACATAAAGACCTGTGCAACATTGGACAACATGCATCCACTTGCAAATACTGTAGGATAATAAACATGCTTTATTAACAGCACACATTAGATACAAGTATTTTGTGAAAACCAATGACTTTGTCCACACATTTTACAACGGATTAGGCAACTGCATCTTTTCTTTTTAACTGAGAACAGAAAGAAGACTATTGTTTTTAATGGGGCAGCCCACCAGCAAATATGTTTGAATTAATACAAGGGGTTTTAGGCCTGCTAGTGGTGATCCTTTTCAAACCTACCTCCTTTTTTTATTAGACATACATAAGTGTGTAAGTCTCCGTAACATCATCGACAGCTCACCTCGTTAAAGAGCCGGATGCCTTCCAAGACAAGAAGTCTGGAAGATCAAAAAAGTGACTGGCTTTGTTCCAGCAGTTCTCCTTTAGATTCTGAATGAGTGAAAGACAGAGTGTGTGAGAATAAAAGCAACAACTGTATGACAAATATGCTAAGGCTAAAACAGTAATAAAAAACAAACAAAAAAAAGCCCACCAGGTATCTGCTGAACAGCCAGTACAAAGAGCAATAATAAAACATGCAGAGATCAGTGGTGACCTTGTTCACCTCTCACCTCTTTAAGCCAGAGCAGCTTAGGGGGTTGCATCTCTGGTGACATGACTCCCCCTACCCTGCTGAGGACCCTGTGGCCATTTTTTGTTATACGATCAGCCTGCTCTGTAGCACGATGGTCCATCCACATCACTACGTTCCTTTGGGGGTCACCTGGGAAAAGCAGTTCAGTAAGGGAGAAGGCAACAAACACCAGAGAGCTAATATTGGATATAATATTGTATCTGTTAAGACCTGATACATAAAACTGTTGTCATGGATAGATTTCATCTTGGAGTACAAATTCAGTATTTAGCCAAAGAATTTGGGTCATGCTTTTGTGTCTTGCTTAATAAGCAAAAACATGATTCAAATCCAGCTCCAGGCTTCTACTCTGCAGCCGACTATGACCTTGGACCTCACTGTGGAGGGGTGATTTTTTTCCCCCCTGAAGGATCAATGCTCAGCAAAAATGGGGCTTACATAACCAATGCTTACCAAGCATTCAGATCAGATCAACTGCAATAAAATAAATCGCTTACCTTCCTGACTGACGGGCACAGGCTGGAAGCTTTGGTCCAAAACCACTAGAGAGCAGGTGGCATCAAAGCCAATCCCCCTAATCTGGCTCTTCTCCACACCGTGAGTAACTTTCTGGAACAAATACATGCAGTTGTTTTTAAATTACATTTCCTCCGTGCATTTACTCATCCTGCAACCGTAAGAGGGCACGAATACATTTACCAACTTATGATGTCAATTTCTGCCTTTCATAAATAAACAGCTGTTCACACAGGATGTGTGCTTGAGATTCCCATCCAAGTGCACATTGAAACCTAGGGAGTACATTGGCAATACATAGAAAAGATTTTTCAGCACAACACGTTTACAACATGTAGTGAGTCTAATACAAGTTTATTCCTGAATATTCCTTGCCCATGAGGTTTTTGCCTTCCACTGAGGAGAAATTACCACTACTGATGATTTCAACCAGCATTTTTAACAGGTATTTTTTTAATTTTTTTTAGTACAGTTAAATTTACTCACATTTTTCTCATTACATAAACCTCTGTTAACTAAGGTAAAACATATTCTTTGCCTTAACCTAATGTGGATGAATCATGCTTCTCCCACAGGCACATTTGGAGCCAGGAAAAACCCTGTAATGTTAATTTTTTTGTCGCAGAGACCAGTCATCCACCACATATGCCAGCTGCCGAGTATATACCTCCCATAACTTAAGGCAGCTGTTGCCAAAGTGTGTGTGCTGCCATTAAGAGTAGAGCCTGACCAATACTAGATTTTGGGGGCCAACTTAGGGTGTAAAAAATGATCTGATACTAATATATGCCCTATATTCTTTAGACATACAGTAATGCTGTATTTACAGGGGAGTTCTAAATAAAAGGCAAATTGATTGGGTCCTGCATAACAACTTTTCAGCAATGTATTTCAAACAAACTAGTTTACAGTGTAACAACAACACACAGCTTAATTCTAGACCACTGGTTATAGTGTTTTGTGTATTGGAAAGAATGGAGGTGCAACATCTTGAAGTAAAATGTCTTGATGCATGCGCAATCATTTAGGTAAGGAAATCCCAAAAATCATCTGGATGTAGCCTTTTCAGTGGGAGAAACGCTTGGTCACTCATCCCAGTGACTTTTTCAGTCTCAGCTGACTGCAGGTTTCCCCAACCTTATAAACAGTGCCTTTGCACAATGACTGAAAGCCATTCCTCAGTTCTTTGTGAATGGTCCTCATGGTCATGACACTTGGCATATTAATGATCAAGAAACTGAGCTCACAGCCCATTGTTCTTCAGTGGTGCTAGTTTAATTAATTATGCAAATGTACTGGTAGTAAGAAGCCTACTGCAACAGCTGAGTTTGAACTAGGAGGGAATTAAATGCAGAAAGTTAGCAGAAAAAGCACGAGTACAGTAGCTAGCTAAAGGTAACCAAAATGGTCAAAATAGTAAATATATTTTATATTTTACCTAAAATAGGTGCTGAATAAAAAGACGAAATAACTAGCTTAAAGTAATTATAGCAAAGTAAGCGAAACATTAGCATATGACAATACACAACGACTGAAAGACTTACCGAGAGTTAGCTAAAAATAACAAACGATGGCTGATGTAGTGAAGAAAATGCTGAAATAATTAGCAGAGAACAATGTAAGGGCGGTAGGAATATTAAATAATACGTTTTAGAAGGAATTTTTAAATAATTAAAACACATATATAATGAAGAAACTGCTTTTTTTTCTTTAGCTGCTAAAATACTATTAACATCCATGCTAAAAAATTAGCTAAAATGAACACATGAGTCTGTGTTGGTGTATCTGTGCTCAGACTGCTGCTGTAGAGGGATGGATGTATATTTTTATAACACACACTGAGGCCATAAATCATCCCACCTTGACAACTGTGCAGCATTTCTCCCAGATCTCAGTGGAGGACTGGACATAGTGGTCAGACTCCGGCTCCCAAATGCCGATGGGCTCCTGTGCAGTGCTCTTCAGCAGGCCCTCCCTGGTCACTAGTGCAGCCCTCACACTGGCTGTGCCCACGTCCACTCCAACATAAAAAACCTCTGCCATGAGGAGATGACCTGAAAGTGGGGGAGGAGGTTTATTATTAACCAGGTTACATTACCAGTGTCGACTTTGAGCAGGTTATACAAATTCAAGAAAAACGCAATTATTAAGGCAACTTGCGTATTTTGCTTTTGAAAAATTTCTTCTTTTTAGCATCTTCACACACTCCTGCAGACGGTTGGAGGGCAGGAATGTGTGAAGTGCAGCAGCAGCTGGTAAAACAGAGTTTTCAGCAATAATAACAGACTAGTACTTATAAAGTACTTATTAATAAACAAATAGGACGCGAGTGCGTAATCTGAACTTACCCAGCGATTAAACAATTATTTTAGTCCGCAGAGCATTTGTGTTGATCGTTCAAGTTTGTGATCAGGGTACTTTCAGAGTTAAAGCATTGCTTTAACGCTGCTGGACTTCAGAGTCGGACGGAATGCGAAAGCGGACAAAAAGCTTATCGTATGCCAAGTTGTTCAGGCATTTTAGCTTCAGAAATCAGCTTATTCACTTTTTCATCATGCCATATTTTTATATATACATTTAAATATTTTTATATTTTACATTTATATCTTTTATTATCTGAAAAGTCCAAGTTTACCATTGAAAACATTTTGACTTTTTCAAAGTGTGCAGAAAATAACTGCAATGCCAGTTGTGGAGTGCTTGTTATCAGAATTACCTAAAACTAATTAAAAACTGAAATTATTTAAATAAAAACTAGAAAATCTAAACAATGAGCGGGGGGTGGGGGGGGACTGAAAGTAAACTGAATTAAAAGATTATAATTAAAAATGAAATAAAAATTAAAAAAAATAATTAGAAATAAAAATTATAATAAATCTGGTGGGGTGGACCAAAAGATCAGAACTACTGATTCCTACACAACATTTGTAATAAAGGACATTGGTGATTTCAGTTGCTTTTATGATATATATAAACCACAACTGGCCACAACTGATTGTGTGCTTAGTGGATGCCTCAGGCAGCAGACCCCTGAGAAAGAAGAGGAGAAAGAACAGGAACCATCATTGAGGACAGCCCCCTGCACGGCATGTACCACCAAGAAATCAGGCCATCAGACTGCTGAACACGTCATAGACACCTCAGCTTCACTACTGGAACTTCAACATTATGCACTCCACACTGTATATAAATGCCACTTGTTTTGCACATATTCAACTCTGTATATTTTATTATTATTATTATTATTATTTTTATTTTTTATTTTTTACTATTCAATTTGTAAAAATGTGTATACACACACACACACACACACACACACACACACACGTAGGAAAATATTTAGTATACACATCCAGAAATGCATACACTATTATATATTGTACATATATTTATTAGTTTCAGGTTGGCCATTCTTGTATTTTGCTCGTTTGTGTTGTTGTGTTTGCACATCTCTGTTGCTTGTGGGGCTCGCACACAAGAATTTCACTCGCATGTGCTGTGCCAGTGTGCCTGCACATGTGATGTGACAATAAAAGTGATTTGATTTGATTTGATTTGAAATAGAAGAAGTGGCTGATATAGAGAAATCCTGCCAATGGCTTCACAAAGCTGGACTGAAAGACAACACAGGGGCACTAATCATGTCAGAAGAGGAACAAGCTATAAGCTCAAAATTGATAGAGGCTGAGGTCTACCACATCAGCTAAGACACGTGCCTACGTGCAGGCTGTGCAAAGATGCCCCTGAGACAACCCAGCACATAACAACAGGGTGCAAGCTGCCATTAGACAGGGCAGATGTGGAAGTGTATGCCGACATAGTATACAGGAACATCTCTGGAAGTATGGTCTGGAAGTCCTGAGGTCAAAATGGGATAGGAGAAGGCCTTAGTGGTAGACGTAGCTATACCAACCAATAGGAACATCAGGAAGAAGGAACATGAGAAACTCGAGAAATACCAAGGGCTGAGAGAGTAGAGAAGATGTGGAGGGTGAAATCGGAGAGCTCAAAGCAGTGACTGGAAACTGGGCGACTGGCTCAAGCGGATCCCAGGAATGACATCTGAGATCTCTGTCCAGAAGAGCGCAGTTCTAGGAACACAGCAAAGATACTCCAGGGTACCCTCAAGCTCGAGGGAAGGACAAAGGGTGGGGAATTTTATATAGTCAAGTTTTTCATTCTAAATCCTACCTTGTCTATTTGTGTTATTAAAGGAGCTAAGCAGCTGTGTAAAGGAAGTGCCGCTGGATGTGACCCGTATGTTTGGGCAAGGAATAATCAGCAGAGATGGACTTCAGAGAAAAACCAAACAGCAGGACAGGAAGAAACAGATGGTCTCCAACAAACAGTGCATGGACAGTGTTTGAAATCTCATCTGTCTCTCTCACTGGCCAGTGTGCATGTGTGTGTGTGTGTCCCTCAAGTCCATGCCTGAAGGTAATCAAAACTTTGTTCTGTTGATACATCAACACATGCACATACACTCTCTCTGTGTGTTTTGCCCTAATAAAGGGGAGGAGAGGGGAGGGGTGTTTCCGTGAAAGCTGGATTGTCCCACCTCTGTACAACAAAAGCAGGGCCTGTTGAGAGACAGGCGGGACCAGCTCCTGATTAGAAAACTCCATGCAGTGGAAACAGCTGGCCCAGCCAGGGAGGAGGAAAGCACTGTTATCTAAAGGCGACCCCGTCAACCCAGTAGAGAGGAAAAGCTGACAGAGAAACAGGAAGCATGGCCAGGCCATAGCGATAGTTTGATTGGAAACACTGCACGGTGGGTCTTGACACAGGTATATGGACAGAGTGGCCCAGAACGTTACCGTGTGATAGAAAGAAAGAACGTTTCTAAAGCATTCTTCAGGGTATCATACTTTAGAATGGGTGTTGCGCAGCCTTCTGATGAAGACAACATGTCATCTGGAGAGTGTTGACCTCAGGCTGCCCTGGTTATCCCAGCCTGTCTGTCTGGGCTGTTAACTTATTTATAGTTGGCTCGAGGAGAACATGTTTAATAATACAATGGGGTAGACCAGACAGACTGGACAGCAGCTGTCATTAGCTGGCTTTGTGTCTACCTATGTGAATGAAAGAACACATATTCATACATACAGTGCGGGGTGGTTAAGACTGCAATGCCAAAGAATGCATTCATTATGTTTATTTTCCACTAAATGGTGCCACATTTTTAGGAAAATGCATTCATGAGTTAAGTGTGGGGGCTGCACCCATGCTTCTCTGCCAGTACCAAACAGCTGTGGACTTTTATTTGGTGTCGTTTATTAGATTGGATGATTTCGTCCGAAGAAACAATACATATTGACAATTTAACAGTTTATTCATTTAACAAACAGGGACCTTAGTAGCATGTGGAAGAACCATACACATGCTCCTCTTCAAGCTAGTCACCAGCTTGGTCAGGCACTGCTGTGGGATGGCGTCCAATTCTTCAACCGACTTGTCGCAAGTCAGCCAATATGGTTGTGTTGGTCATGAACAGCACACCCACGAGTGTTCAGGGGGGTTGAAGTCAGGACTTCAGGCAGGCCATTCCATCTTCTCCACTCCCAAGTTCTGAAGGTAGTCTCTGATAAACCCCTCTCTGTGGAGGTGAGTATTGTCGTCTTAGAGGACTGAATTCTGTCCCAGACTGTGGAGACATGGGATCGCTGCTGGTTGTAGAATCTCATCTCAATATCTTGATATGCATTCAGATTGCCGCCAGTGACGACAAGCCTTGTTTTTCCAGTGAGGGAGTTGCCTACCCACTGCTATGTCGTCCTGCAAGCCTTGACTGCAAATCTGTAGAAGACTGCCTACGGTTCTGACAACGTGAGGAAATGGTCTTCTTGTGGCGGCGGCATTTTGGGACGCCCACTTCAATGACTGTCTCTGACATTCCCCATTAGATAGAAGTTGGCCTTCAATTGGAGATGATACTAGGGCTTACTCCAAATAATGCTGCTACTTGGTCTTATAAAACACAAGCTTGAAGTTGCACCATGGCACAAGTCCGATCCAGAACAGTCAAATGGGGCATGCTTGGAGCAGAACAACTGACTGCTCTGGCAGGGTCCATGCTCATATGCTGGGGTGTCAGCAGCTCAAAACAAGAGTCAATAGTAGAATAAGCTGTTTGACATAAGAAGAAAAGATCTGACAAGTTTTTCATGGGTTCAGTCCACATACTCAACTCTGCTGCTAAACCTGTAAATGCATTTTCCTTACAAATGTGTTATTATTTTAGGGGAACAAAAGAAAGAAAGAAATTACCAAGAAAGAAAAAGCTGATTTCCTTACTTTTTGTGCAGATTTAGGGTTGGGTTAGCCTGTCAGTGCATAGGTATGTTGCTATCCCCTCATATACATCATTAAATCAATGGTCTTTTTTTTTCTCAGCACAGTTCAGTGTTAAGGTTGCCTAGAGTTTTTAATAGTGTGGCCTTATCAGCATTGACAAATTTTGCTCAATAACAATTAATCCAAAATTACAGTGTTTAAGGAATTCACGTGTCATATCAAAGTCCTTCGAGCAAGTCTCACCACTCAGCATCCATCTATCGCAGGAACTTATTTGGGTATTTATTTCATAACATAATTAAAAATAAGCTTAATTTGATTGGCCACTACAGGAAACAAACACTCCCCCATCAATATCTTTAAAAAATTATATATAGCTGTTAAATGTGCTGGCTTTCCCCTCAATATAAGGTTTTAAAAATGTCCCCTGGAAGTTACACCTGTGCCATCATCTTTGCTGTTGCAGACTTCATCTATAGATTGGTCACAATCGTACCTAAAATAGAGCTCCATTTGTATTTTACGATTATTTATTTTAACTACTTTTTATGTTGTGCAAAAATGCATTGTGAAATAAATATGTGTCCATAAATGTTTTAACTAGTACTGCACCTTAATCAAAACAAAAAGTTGCATGCTAGTTTATTTTCACGTCATGCCAAACATTTGACACACTCCAAACAGGATTACGCAACTTTGTTTTTTTTTTAAGCCACACATCAAAAAGAATGACTGACATCCTCTGCATGAACACATTCAAGAGAAAAAACACTCTAAAAGGCTGCTGTGGAAATTTACAAGCTGATGTTCCTTAAAGAGTGGAACAAATTTCTCCTGGAAGAGCTTTTTTTTCTGAAAATGATCAGCTAAATAAAATACTCTTTTGCTCAGCAGCTAACTTGATTTTATTGCATCATATGATACTGGTACTAAGAAAAACAGACCATAACTGCATAAATGTTTGTTATACAACAATGTTAGTGTTAGAGATGCACAAATCTTATAGTCTATTATAAATTTCATGTATAGAAACATGGAGTACCCATACAAGACTATAAATTAGTGCTTACGGCCTAGTGTACATTTATGTATTAATACTCATTTGTTTACATATAATAATTTTTTTGTTCTTATATTTCTAAGCTTTTTGGATATTACTTGTTTCCACATACTGTATGGCACAGATACACATTTTCCGAGTAAATATGTGCACTGCTGAGGACACATGCCATCTTCAGATAGCAAGAAATCAAAAAGAAACTTAAAACCAGCACAGGTGTAGGACCACATATTTTGTGGGCAACAAAGAAGCTCAACGTAAGTCAGGTTCTTGTTCTTTCCTGTCTTTAACCCTGCTTTACCAGCCAACCTGTGCCCACTTCCTCAAAAGTCCCGTGTAGTTCTTCCTGTACAGCCACACACACTGATCACCACAATTTCTGCATTTTCAAGCAGGTTAATTATCTCTTTGTTGTGATTTATTTTTTTAATATTTAAGCCTGTGAAACCTACAGCCTTAAATCACATGTTCCTGATCCGAAACATCTTATTTAAAGATTCCTGGTTCATTTCCAATCAGCGCTCATCTCTGCGCACCCTCAGCGCGCACTTCGGGGGATAACTAGTAATTGAGCGGGTAACTAAATATTCAAAAACACTACGTAATCCCAGAGTACATTGCTCCACTGTCTGCATTACCTAATCCCATAAGCCATCGCGGTGGGCGGGGATATGGCCTGTTGTCAGAGCAACCTGCATGTCATTAGACACATCCCGCCTACCAAGTCATCTCCAGCCAATCGCTGGCTGTAGAAATGACATCATTGTTATTTTCAGGCGAGCTGCAGCTTAGAGGTGGATAAAGTTCGTCTCCACGTTGGAAGTGATAGAAAGTATTAGACGTTTTCGGGCACTGTTTTTACTTTTTGGGAGCGAGGATAAATCACGGAAGACATTCGGTGTGTCCGGACACGGAGACCCGGCGGCGGGGGGACAATTTTTGGTTGTTGATGAGCGCAGGGCTCACAAAGGAAAAGTTTTCCCAGGACATAAAGTTGTCAAGTGAGTTGAACTTCAACAATAGGCGGACTCTATCGCAATCCAGTTGACGGACTGTCACGGGACCTATGTAAACAGTCGACCTTGGACTGTTTTCTCGTTTCTTTTTTAAAGGAGAAAAAGAAAGATCTCCCTCAGGGTGAACAAAACTTTATGTCCAGAAAAATGGAAGCGACCTTCTACGACGAAGCCTCCAACTCTCAGCGGGACGGGGCGGCAGTGTACGGCTTCAACCCTAAAACCCTCAAACAGACCATGACCCTGAATCTGAACGACCCGAAGAACTTTAAACCTCATTTGGGCGCCAAGGCCCTGGACATCCTGACGTCCCCTGATGTCGGGTTACTGAAGCTGGCCTCACCTGAACTGGAGAGACTGATCATCCAGTCTTGCAACGGGCTGACAACTCCCACCCCGACCCAGTTCATCTGCTCCAAGAACATTACCGACGAGCAGGAGGGCTTCGCTGAAGGGTTTGTGAGGGCGCTGGCTGAGCTCCACTACCAGCAGCAGATACCTGCCGCCCAGCCCGACCCACAGACCGGCTCGGCCAACGGCATGACATCCGGCTCCGCTGCGCCCGAGAGCGGCGGGATTTCCTACAGCTGCACGGTGCGCACGGAGCCGCCGGAGTACACCAACTTGAGCAGCTTCACTCGGGCTGTAATAGGCTCCACGCCCGCACCTGCCGGCGAGAGACAGCCACCTCCACCTACAAGTTACCCGGCGGCCCCACAGCCGTCCCACAACCACATGGACCACCAGCTGCCGGTGGCTGCGCAGCACTCACGGCTACACGCGCTCAAAGAGGAGCCACAGACGGTCCCGGAGATGTCCGGCGAGACCCCACCGCTCTCCCCCATCGACATGGAGTCCCAAGAGCGCATCAAAGCTGAAAGAAAGCGCATGAGGAACAGGGTGGCCGCGTCCAAATGCCGGAAAAGGAAGCTGGAGAGGATCGCCCGACTGGAGGACAGGGTCAAAAACCTAAAGAGCCAAAACACGGAGTTGGTTTCCTCTGCCAACGTCCTGCGGGACGAGCTGGCTCTGCTCAAACAAAAGGTGATGGACCACGTTAACAGCGGCTGCCAGCTCATTTTGACGCAGCAGCTCCAAGCTTACTAGACTTGCCAAGAAAAGAAAAGAAAAAGAACCAAGGGACACTGCTCGGGGACCAAATGCAGCCTTTCAGGGAAGTCTCAGCGCATTGTTTTTTTTTCTCCTCCACCAAAATATCCGCTCAGACTGTATCCACATGGAGGCTGACTGACAAGATACTTGGTATTGGTCAGCAACGGTGAATTATCACAGAGCAGAAGCCATCAAACTTATTGCACAGGCGCACACAGCTCAGATGGAACCTTGGCTCTGCCAGCGCCTCTGATCTGGCTCGTTACATATTTTTGGCATTTTTTTTGTGTCTTTGTCATTTATTTCCACCTTAAACTACACAATGAAATCTATAATCTGTCAAACCAGCTATGGCAAGTGTTCACATCTTATCACTCGACTGTGGCCCACACATATCCTGCATCCTGACTGGAGGATAGATAGGGCTTATGTGGGCTCAAATTGCATAGACACAATGTGAACCGAACCTTTCACTATGTCAAGTAGCAACGTATGCATATAGACATGAGTCAAGCACTGAGTATCCCAGACACCAACGATTATATGTACAGAACACTAACAACAACAACAAAAGTTCACACCTTTCCCTAAAGACTCATAGGTGTGTGTTTACTGACAAAACTGCCTTACTTTCTTAATACTTACCTTCAAGCAACTTTGTGATATAGTTGTAACTAATGTTAAACCTCAAGTTAACACTTAGTAATATTTGTACGCAGTATTTTGAGCACTTAACTGTAAATATGAGAAAATAAAAGTGTTGGACATGCAGCAGGATGTGTGTTGTGGCTTTGTGATCAACGATAAATGAGCCTGGAGGTGAGCGGATAGTCTTGCAGTGTGTTACATGGAGTGTTTGTTGTTGGAGAAACTGGGGCGGACGGGAGACTGAGTCACCAGCTCGCTGAGGCGCACCCGATGGTTGCCGAAGCTACTCGGACGCCCATTGGACAGCGAAGCGTCGGAAGTGAGCCGCAGGCAGCCAAATATGGCAAGAGGTCTCGAGCGAGCGCTGGGACGGGTGGGGGTGTGTATGTGCGCGCGCGCGAGTAATAGTCACCGTCCTCCCACTACAGCTGGTGACTCTTTTACAAGAAACGCCATGATGCCGAGGCAGATCTGTTTACACACTTGAAGGGAGTGAGTGGAGAAGAGATACTTTGTAAAGAGGAGGAGGCTTATTTTTTTATTTATTTTCTCAACTGTAATAACTGTCTGTAATATAAATACGTTTCTGTAGAAGAAAAAAAGTACAAATGTATACACTTTATACATTTAACCTGAACAGAGGGGCACATGTTAGATTACTTGGAAAGAAATTGAAACAAAATAAAACAAAAAACAGACTCTTTAGCCCAACAGTGACACCAGAAGCTGGTAAATGATTGGATACATGTTCATGCCCAATCATTTACCAGCTGGTAAATGATTGGAGGAGGCAGCTGTCTGGCAGTTTAAAGACCCTACACACAGACTGTAAACCCACACAGGTGCTTTCACTCACTGCTTGATACACCCTGGCCCTACCTGTTATGACAGGACTGTTTCTATGTTTAACTTGAGTCTTGGTACATTGGTTTAGATAAGCTCCTCATAGATTCCCTCAACTTCAGCCTGACACAAGACTTAATCAGCCATTAAATGAATACACCTGCATATTCTGTCCAGGACTTTTATGACCATTTAAATGCTTGTAATCTTTTATACGTGCCGTATGTCATGTTGTGAACTGGTTATTTACACAACACTTGAGGATTAGATATGTGCTTTTCTGTATCTTTACAGGATGTTTTGATGCGTATCTGACAACGTGAGCAAAGACAAACTCGAGGCAACTCAGACAGGGTTTAGTCTGTTAAGGCATCTTATCCACAAACTCCACAACTGCATCCTGCACTGGATCCCCAGACAGTGTACATAAAATTAAACACTATATTCTACTATGGAACTGAAGTTACAAAATGACGGTTGTCTGCCAGAAGCGACTGGTGGAGTTGATTACTGGAGCCGACTGCCTGCTCTGGTCTCATCCAACAGCTTCTTTTGATCTTACTTGTCTTCCGTCTTTCTGTGCAACACAAATTTTTCCAGGTTCTAAACAGCTTTAAGTTCTCAAACACAGAGTTGAGTTCCTAAATTATATCTATCTGGGGGTCGTTCCTGTGTTTGGTTCCTGATAACCCCCATAGTCTGTGCACAGTCCTGTGGCCGGGGGCTCTCAGCTGACGAGCACGCCCTCTTTAGCAGCTATGCGCTGCCGGTGGACGTGGTCCTGCTCTAGTTCTTCATGGCTGGGGTGCCAAAGCCGTGACAGGACGCGTTCCATGTTGAGGGCGTACATGGTGTGGGAGGGCATCACGCCGTGGTGAACCTGCATTAAACGAGTATAAAAGAGATGAGTAAACCATTTCAATTCTGATAGTTAAATGATGGAAAAGTAGGCTTGGGAAAAAAAAAAGAATCCAGCGTTAAGAGTAAAGAAAGATAAGATAAGATACCTTCATTAGTCCCACGAGTGGGAAATTTCATGTGCTGACATGAAGAGTAAGACATGAAGATATAAACCTTTAAACTTTACATATGCATTTCTGAGGGAAACAGCGTTTTTGTGTAAACACAACTATTCAGTAAACAAGGCAAACAGCCTAACAATTCTGCAATAAGACCTCAAACTTATAGGTTGGTTAGAAAATAAAAAAAAGCTATGAGTTTTGTCATCTCTAACTGACAGCTTGAAAATTATAAGACAAAAAACGGCAGCAACTGCACACAGTTTCGAAGCCAGAACTTAGAAAAGTTTGGCATTTTTGCTGGAAAAATGAGTTTATATCAATCTTATTACACACTCATTTGTGGACTATTACACAACTTCACAGCATTCTAAGAATCCCACACACACATTTTCAAGGTGAAAAACTCCATCACATTTAACAGGGTCAAAGGTTGTATTATTTGACCACTTGCCTGGGAATATCACAACTTTTCCTTTGGGCTGTTCCAAGAAAACTCACTGTGAAATATGCTGATGTTGCTAGGACCAGTTGTGCACATTTTCTTACCTGTAAAGCCTCGAGGAGATCAAACATGCTGATTGGAGGGAGAGGTGCAGGAAGACTGTCAGCAGAACAAGCCAGCAAATGAACAGCTTGCTGCTCAGCCTCATCGGGTGACACCTGTGGTGGTGGGCCTGCAGGGAGGGAAGCACTCTGTGGCGGACTTCAAGGGAAAAAAGTACACTATTAGTCCATACTGACAGCAAAAGAAAGCAGCTACTGATACAAACATAAAAACTAAAAAGATTTAATGAAGTTGCACTAATGAGAGGCATACACATTTTTCTGTATCAAATGCACTTTCTTATACTGAGAATTCTCACAGCCTAACAAAAGCTGGAGTCCCTACCAATCAGCAACACTGTGGTAAGCAGCAAGGCTGTTTTTCAGATAGGGTTGAGGCGTGACGTCATTGCCAAAGGCGTAGGGGAAACGGCTGTCTCGTAATCGATACGCCTTCCTCCGCATGATTACGGCAGTCAGGACATCTTTCAAGTGGTGCTGAAATAAATCAGAGCACTGAGTCAGTGCACAGTCAGACTCAAAATGGCTCCCATTCATTTCTGGGTGCAACAGGTCGCATTAGCTTTTGCATGTAAACTGACTGATAGCTTAGTGTAGTTTAATCCAAGTGATCACTGATAATGGAATCAAGACAGACCTCTCTTACTACATATATATATTCTATATACTTGTTTCATAACTCAACTTTAAAATAATTCAAACAGCTGAGTGAAAAAGACACTGTGCTGGGCAAGGACACAGACTGAGACAGTACAACTGATGTCCCTCCTGCTTTTGGCCACCACACATGGGTAAACATCTCATTAGATTTTGGTGTGACTAAGCGACAAAGCTCTGCTCAGTCTCTGGAGAAAACAAAGCTGTCAGTGCTGCATAATAAATGACGCAGAGCATGTTCTTTCTGATCATTTAAACCACTGCACCGATGTTTAAACAATGTCAGACTTAAAAAGCAGAAGAATCACTTGCGTCACACTCTCAGCTTTTATGAGGGTGCACTGAGGCTCAAACAGTCACTCTTCTGTTGAACTGTTAGTATATACCTCAACGGCATAGATCATGGTGCTGATGGCATCTTCTGTGACGTTATCCAAGCCCACCTCAAAGGCGGTCACCATCATGCGAGCCTCCAGTTGGCCCCGTGTGGGCAGCAGCAGAGTGTGGGCGCTGAGACGCAGCTCTTCCTCCTCACTTCCCCCCTCCCTCGGGCTGAATGGCTGGGCGGCGCTCAGAGGATTCTGAGGCTGGAAACGATGCTGAAGGACACACAAGCATCCGAGCGATATTGTCAGTCCACTGTTCAAGCACACAGTTGTTATTTAGAGGTGGCTAACCTTGCAGCTGCAACACTCGGTCGTGATTTTACTTTTTAAGTGTACTGCACACATACACTTTACTTAGGATGGCCACCCAAGTGTATCTGTTGACTCATTTCAGCCTTTTTTTAATGCATTTTGGGTTGTTTTTTTTTTAAATCATGCCACAGAAAATGAAATCACCCATGGCTGATTTACAGTTGGACCATTCCCCTACTCTTATTTTGAAAGCCCAGGCCCTTTTTGTGTAGTTTCCCTAGCAGCTGGTTTGCTGGTCAGGTTGCTGTTGTGGCAATCCTCAGTGTGGTTCAGCGGCATCTACCTCCACTGTACCCTTAATTATGAATTTTGACACCCCAGTATTCATCGGTCTACTTGGTCTACTACTACTGAATGACCTGTTCTATAAGCACGCCTGAAATATGAGAAACTACTCAGTTCAGAAAAAAGCTTCAAGGGTTACTCCTAGGAGGCTTTCAAGGGGTAAAGAGTTAAATGGGTCTTGTGTTAATAGTCAGACGGACTTAGACTGGTGACAGTCTTTTTTTTCTGCTGTGAACTGAATGGCCCAAGAACCAGAAACTTCAGCGGGAGCAATGGGTCATGTGGCACTATGCTGAGCCCTTTGAGAATGCAAAGCAGAACATGGATTATCATCACTAGTTGCAGACCAACACAGTAGAGATAAAGCTCATCCACAGAGAGACTCAATGGAGCAGCAGCTCAATAAAGGTTTACTGGTTACACTACCTGGCAACTAAAATATTTAGAGAGGAGAACCTTATAAGAAGTATTTTTCCAACAATTCATTAAAGGTGTGTGTGCAACCTCTGTCAAAGAATATAAATTTGTGGGAACAGTTTTAGCAGTATTGTTGCCAACATGAACATCTAGCCCGTGCGGGGATGAAAATATGAAGGAGGACTTACGTCGAATTTTTGCCTAGAGGAACATTTCTTATTCCCCTTCGGTTTGCCGGGCTTTGAAGCACAGCTACCTTGCCACTGCAATGACCCTGCACCCTCTAGAGGACAAAAAGGACACACAACAAGGTGCATGAAAGACACAAACAGAGATCCCATTTTATTTGGTGAAATAGTCTTGAATTTTAATCTCAACAGCTCCCAAGCCAGTCCTGACAAAAAGGTATGGCTTAATACATGCATAAAATGTCAGCTGTTATAAAATATAGGTTCAGCCACAATTTCAGAGGCATTAAGTTATTATTTAAAAAAAAACTCACCTGGTGTGGAGACAATGATCTGGCACCGTGTAAGAATAGCCAGGAGAAAATCATTGTGAACATGGACTGGATGAATGAAGGAAACACAGAATAAGCCATTTTTTTATTAGTAGTATTATAATTTCTACATTACACATTAGCACAGAGGAAAGCTGTTCTTTGACACTGACCATTCTCCTGTGCCAACAGCCTACGCGCCTCAATGTCAAACTCTTCCTTGCTGATCTTTTGTTTGAACCACAGCTTCAGGTTTGCCCAGTAACTGCAGGGAGGAAACAAGAAGCAAGCACCAACACACACATAACTCAGGTGCATCTACAACACAAAGTGATGCTGGACACAGACAGAAACACACGCATACACAAGCACATACACAGGCACCATCTGCACGTCATTCCATCTCTTTATCGCGTTATTCACGTGCTATTAACTTTTAAAATCACAAATACTCAACAGTGCTGTTCCTGTTTCTTTCTCTCGTCGTCTTTAAGTTAAGTTTCACTTCTCGCCAACTCGGGGTACACTTTTCAAAATATCGTCAAGTTGGATTTACACAAACCCGCCATAACGTTAAAGTTCATACAGCTAATAAAGCTCAAGGTAAATCTCACCTTTCTTACGCATCACCTTCACCACAGACATAAAAAAAATACCAAAGAGATGCTACAGTAATATGTCAACAACGGGGAAAATCCTGCAAAATGTAGCAGAGGATAGCTAGGTGCTAATTGGTCCAAGGCGCAGTTAATTAATGTTAGTCCCCTTTTCATTTCAGTGGCACAGAAATGGGACCAAAACGCAAGGCTACGAACAAAGACAAGCACACAAACAACACTTCACTTACTGTTTGACATTATCGCCAATTGCATCCGTTAAATTCTTCTTTGCAATCTCAAGCTCGCTAGCATGAGCCGCCATGACGTTCATAAACGCCCACAATTACGTCATTAATCGGCGACAGTAACATTTTCTTCCCCTAAACCTATAAACTTTATTGTAGAAAATACATTTCACAAAATTAATCTAAAAGAGAGAAAAGCACTTAGCATTTTGTAATGGCTGAAATTAGTTGAAACTAACTAGTTAAATGAAATCTATTAAAAAGTCAATAACCAATCAATAAATAAGTTAGGTTAAATAAATATGGTGACTAAATTAAATAAATATGATGACTAAGCTAAGATAAATAACAGAATCAATCACACAACAAAAAGAAGTGGAAAACACAATGTAAGTAAAACGAATAACTAAACCATGTGGTTTTGTTACAAACAACTGCGCCGCTAGATGGCGGTGTGGTATCATTTTCATATTTGTACACAGATTAGTGAGGTTTGCCTTCAAGGCCTTCTGCCAGACAAGCTCTCTAAAGACGTGCTTAACTTTGATGAAAGCATGTATTTTAACCCTGAGGACAAACTTCTCCCACTGGTGTCCACTTGATGCAGAAGAGCTGAAAAAAAGTGCTTTTAATCTTGTAAATTTCATAAGCATAACAAAGAGGTCAAGATGCCCCCCCCCCCCCCCCAAAATGCTGTCTGTCTTTTACCAAGCAGAATCTTAGCTCTTTGTGTTTAACAGTGAACAGCTTTCATGTCAGAACACAGCATTTGTGTGCTAACACGACTTTAGAGCCTGAGCTGACGTGTATAAAGAATGACTCCAGAGTCAGTTTGCAAGACCAGTGGGAAGAATGTGATCAAAGCCTTCAAAACAAATCACGTAAAGCAGTGTTGCAACCTTTTACGACAAACTTAGAGAAAGGTCACATTGTCTTGTTTTCATGCTCTAGGCTTTTTCAACATTTTGCAGACTAGGTTTTGAGTTTTTATGGGTTTTTTACTTTTTGTTTTTAGCTCCCCTTAGACCAGAAGAAACACTTCTAATGATCACAGAAGTTTCCCTCCAATATGAAGCATGCCTGCCCGCATTTCCCATTATAACCACTAAAATTTCCACTCAATTCAAAAGTCACTCACACCTACAGCTACTTTGGAATGCAACGGCTATAACATCAGCCAGTACACTTCTATGAAGTGATTATTTCTTCTGCTTTCACCAAAAAAATGTAGCTTTAGAGTTACCAATTGAGGTTAGAAACCTCAATTCTCCACAGTGCTCATCAGAAAGCATTTCCGTGGTTCCATATATTGTCCTTTACAGATAATATTCCTCCAGAGCAGATTTAGGCCAGGAGGCCCTTTTTGTTTTTCACTCTTTTAACTTTGGCGTAAAAACAGCTGAGTCATCAAATAGATGGTCCTCCTTGCCCCTGCCCCCACATACCCAGGAGGTTCTAAAGCCTTAACCAGGCCATCTGACTCATGTCATTCATCAAAATGAGTGCAATCACTGAACATATACAGACATACTGTAGGCTATTAGCGGGTCCTCAGTTACGTGACTAACCTGCAGTGTTCAGAGGTCATACTTCTTTACAAAGGATGTGCATTTGATCATCTTAGGCTTTCGCGGCTTTAGCAGAATAAACAAGCCTGCCATGCCAAACGCAAGAACGATGAAAACCATCTGAATTTTTCATTGCTATTAGATGCATTTAACAGACTAAATGTCAGTTAATAAGCAGCTGAAACTCAAGGAGCAAATGTTCTATGGTTCACATGTCCTTTTGTTTGTTATCTCTGGGTTGCATTTGCTGCTTAGTTTGGAGAAAAACCCCTCAGCAAGATAAAGATCATTTTCACAATCTCAGCCTCTGCTTGTTTGCTTCAAAGCTAAACACACTATCACTCTTCTGGAAATTTTAGGACAGACTGGAAACTGTAGCTGTCCACAGCAAAGTGAGCCTTCCCAGATTTCTCCAAACGATGATCCATCTTAAACAAGTGTCTGTTGAGCCCTAAATCAAAAGGGCACTTAGCAACAAACTTAGTTACGGATTTGTTTAACCGTCCCAGTTAGAGCAAAAAATTCATCATGGAGCTTATTTTCAAAGAAAACAGCTCCACATCCTGTCTGCTGATTTGCTGCTGACACTAAGTGAGCTTCTGAGAGCTAATGAGTCACTCTCACGGACATTCCCCCAACAGCAGATGTTTTATAGCAAACAGCAGCGAACTGTCAGGGATCTTCCGAGCCTGAAATCTGTAGACAGTGAACCTTCACTTAGTGACAAGGAGGGCTTTTACCTCTGAAACGTGCAGTGGTTTTCAGAGGACCACACCGTAGCAGCGTTTGCCCATCCCCAGTCTGCTGGCAAGGTATTTTGAGTTGGTGCAGACCTGAGTGTGGTCCTTTCACTGGAGCCAAGGATGTCACCTTCACAGTTCCAGCATGAGGCTTTGCAGGGGTTTGGTTTTTGTGGGTTAATCAGGCATTTCCATGTCCCTGTGAGGCTGTTTAAAATTGTGAGGGTTCAGTGTGTCACCGGCACAAGTTATTGGAAGGCTACACTTGGATCAACCCACACTGGCTGATTTGTGGGGTCTGTTCTCACTGAGGGTTTAGAGGCACATTTATAACAGGAAGGTGGTCCGTTATAATCAGCGTCCTTTTCCTTGGTCAAGCTGGGAAAATCTGTATTGAAATTAATCCAGTAAAGCTTCTCAGGGGGTAGCAGTGGAGGACAGGGATGGACAGGACGTCTAGATTTTGCATTAAAGCACAAAAAAGTGTTTTAGAGAACAACCATGCTCTAGAAAGGTATCTAAACCTGCTTTCAACCTTGTCAGCAAGCAGTAGGCCTATACTTTGTTAAAAATGCTTTGTATATGTCAGTAGGTCACATTTCTGCATGTTTTATTTTATTTATGCGGAGCACCTTTTAAGAAAATTAAAGGAATAGATTGGATTTCTACATAGAAACAAATCTTGTTTCTCATTCATGATTAGTAAGATCATTGTGCAATCTGCCAATTTTGTCTACGCTTGATTATGGTGATGTTGCTTCTCTATTCAAGTTGAAGCCTCTTGATTCTGTGTACTACCGTAAATTACGATTCATTACAGGTGATTGTTTTCTTGGTCACCATCGTATCTTATATGAGAGAACAAAATGTGATAATGTACAGTAAATCGAAGACAGCAGCATTGTATGATATTTATTTACAAGGCTCTTTGCTGCAAAGATTGCCTGCTTATCTCCTTGACTGAATTTAAACGGAGCTCTTACAATGTCAGGCCGTGGGACATTTTAAACATTAGCTGTACCTGTTGTTCACACTGAAATTGGAAAAACTGGATTGAAATATTTCTCCACCTACAAACGGAACAAACTACCAAAATGTTATGAAGCTACTCTTGTGCATTTTTTTAAATTGTGTACATGTACCTGTTTGTCTAACTTTTTGTATGTGTTTTATTTTGTTCACAGGTCTGTCTTGAAAAATAGATCTCAATCTCAATGAGACTAAATGTTTAAATGAAGGATTTAATAAGCATTTATATATTTTCAGACCTGTGACAGATTAAAGCCCTTGGCCTCTAATTTTCACGTTTATTTGCTTTTTTGCTAGCTCTTAGCTTACTTGAGCACAGAAACGGTTATACAGAAGACAAATTCTCTTAAAATCAGAAGAATCCTCAAACAATAAAACTAAAATCAGCTTTAATAGCTTTGCACTTTTTTTTCTCATCTTTTCAGCGGCGTGGAATCAGTGTTATGGGGGTAGTTTCCAGAACTACTCAACTTCTCATTTTAGAAGTAAAAAAAGGGGGTATATCACATTAATCTGTAAGCTTTGGATCCACTTGCTTTGCTTTTATAACTCTTGATCCTGACTGGAAGTGTTTTCCAGTTTTATGGCAAAGTAAGCTAAACGCCAGGTGGCCGAAGTTTCAGATTTATTAGAGACACATGAGAGTTGTACCGTTAATCTCAATTTTACTGTTTGCAAGATATTCTGATGTAATTAAATTCAGTCTTCTAAACTAACATCGACATGCATGCAGGCAAACTCTCAGGAAACAGAGGTTTTGACGGTTATAATGAGACAGATTTATAGACATAAAGGCATTAAGAGCACTCTTTTGGACTGTCAAAGGGAGAACACAATGGTTGAAAAAGAAAGAAAAAGGATTCATGTGTTCCATGTGATCAAAGTTGTGCGCCTGGCGTTGATGACTTTGCTTGAAACCAGTCATCCATGGACACCACTTGAAGAGTGTGATGGTCTGGCTCATCAACACAAAGCCGACAGGGCCAGAAAGATTTAAGACAACTCTTATTAGTGTCAAATTCAAAGTGTTGCAAACTGGTCCAGGAATTTGCTGGAACTTTTGGATTTTGCATATCCTTCTTCTATTAAGTGTCATAGCACTTGTTTGAATCAGCCGTGGAAAACAACTTTTAACCAGCAAGACAGAACAGGACGAATAATTAATAAGTCAAGTAAACCTATTGAGTTGGTGAACAGATAAACCAGCCTATGGAAAGAGCTCTTTTGAAACCACTTGAACAAGAATGTCCCCTGAAGTGAACCCTAAATGTTCCCATTTAGTGACTGTTGGTTGTGTAATATTGTTCTGCCAAGCATCGTGACTCATCGGCTTTTATTGCTGTTTAATTTTAAGATTGTAATGCCATTTTTTTTTTATTAGCGGCTGCTTTTTTACATGTCCATAAACATGTTTCCATGTCCAGCTGGGTTTGACCTGTGTTCCTGGTTCATATTTCATGCTTTATAAAAGTTTTTAAAGACATGGGTGTGAAGGCCATTGTGGTGGGTGAGCACAACATGTGAGCCTATTTTCAGATCCGAGACTACAGGCTGCTTGGCTTTAATGTGTTGTTGTGGATACAACAACTGGCTATTTCTTCAAATGCATCCCCATCATTTTACATCCCTGCAACCCCCTCCTCAGGGATGGTTTTCCTTAAAAGGATGCTGCTCTCCATCTTTACCAGTGATTACAGGGTGGAGGGACTGGTGTCTTTGTTGAGGAGAGATTTTTTTTAAATTACAAAAACATACAGTTC